TATTTTCCCATTTGGGCGAGACAAATTATTTTGTATAGCCGTGATATGGTACTACATTTTCATTAATAACTTATAATAAATTTACGTTGACTAATAAAATTTATGTAGTAGAATTTTAATCAGCTGACTAATAAACATATAGTAATATATGGTTTTGTATTTGTTATACAAACTATTCTACCCATCTAGAAGCAGAATTGGTAAATAAGAAAAGAAGGAAAAGAAGATAATGAAAGAGTATATGTGTTTTCTCATTTTGTATGCCATATACGTATCTCACTTCTAATGGGCTACAAGCATCTTCTTCCAGAAACAACCAAGGAGTTGCACCAAAAATGAGTGCATTTTCATTTATACAAGTCTTACTTCCATCTCTACTAATCATGCTCGGCCTATAGAAATATACTTGACAAACAACTCCTTCTTAGGCACTACTTTTCTAAATACTTGGTGAGGCTACAAATTAGAAGCCACAAATTTCTGTGAATGATAAAATGTAATCTGCAAATTATGCCGAAACAAGGCTCCTAAAATGGCATTCACATGGAATTTAATCTCCTCCAGTTGTACATTTAATTGGATTATCCAACTCATAGTTGGATCTAACATAGCTGAAAGACCTGAGAATTTAATGATTTGAATTTAATGCTTGTACCTATTTGGGATAGAACAAAGGAGGACAACTGTTTAATTCTGACCATCTGCATTTGAATATTAGCAAGAGGTTCATATCTAACCCTAAGAAAAATTCTCGAAGTCTGTTTAAAAGACCACATGATCCTGTTTTCTGAATACAATAGCATAAACTTTTATTAAAAACCATGAACTATTCCAGCACTTCCTCAATTTAGTAGTTCTGCTTTCATGTTTTAACTTCTCACTTCTTTCAACTTTAGAAACCATTGTGAATTATGAGGTCTTCAACTAACTGATTTGTTAACTCAACTGAGTGAAAATGCATGTGAATTTCCGGTCAGTGCAAGGCTAGCAGGAAAAAGGATGACAAGTACGAACAAAAACAGAATCGAGCACTTGAAAATTTTACCTTCCACCAGAATGCCCAACATAAACTACTAAGCTAATGAGTCCTCCTGGCATTAGTATTCTCTCAGCAGCCTCCAGTGCCAACAAAGTCGTCGTAGAAATTGTTATTATAGTTTTGTCACCTCCTGGAAGGTAACCCAAGTTGAATGCAACAAGC